GAAAATATCATTGCGCGCGCTATTTGGTTTTAATTTATATTTATTCATGATCCTCTTTACGCATTAAGGTTTTTTTCATGTGAAGAAGACGTGCAGCAGCGCGGAACAGCGTTAACAATTAAACGTCTTATACACCTTTTTAAAAACAAGATTAGTTATCGTTGTATCTCATTAGAAGAATATGAATTTCTTTCATTCTTCTTCACTCAATTAGATACTTAACTTTAACTTCGTTTTCTTTAACTTTCTTTAAGTATATTTTTGCACTGGCAAAATTCACATGCGAGCTGAAACCTGACACGAATCTAAAAGAGAAGTGAAGCATATCGCACTTCAAGAAAACCTGTCTCAACTGTTCGATATTAACGACATTCAAGCCGGTAACATCTCTTTTTTTAGAAAGGGAAAACGCAAGAACAACAATTTACTCTTGTCTCAATATAGTAAGTCAATCTTTTTTTTAATTTGACAGAAGAGAATAAGAATTATTAATTTTATTTTGATACCGTCTTATTTTTATACTAAACGAGGTTGAGAGTAACATAAATGCGTCAAGAATATATCTGTCTCAGTAACAGAAATCCTTTCTGCGGGTGTAGAGAACTTGATTCGACTTCAATATGATATCAGTTCAAATCCGACTAGGTCGTGGACATCTGCACTGAAAGAAAATTTTCGCTACCGTAGCTAACCATGGTTAAAAATATTTTGCTGCTGTAACTATTTTCTAAATTGCAGCAAACGGTTTGCTGTCGCACACCTAATACAGTAGGCACAGTAGCAACGTATTTAGCTGTCACAACTAAATATTAGTTGTCCATGTTTTACAACTGAAATTTAGTTGCCACATGCAATTTTTAGCTATATTTTTCTGTCCGTGTACAGAATATTTTCTAGATATCACGACGAAATCTTCTCAGTGTCAACTTGATTATTGATTCGCACGTGATCTCGACTTGATTTCAATATGACATTCCCCAGATTCTTCATCGACTTGCGAACCCGAGTTGACTGAAAACAAAACGATCTCTACGATACGCGATTTTGCATTTTTGGAAAACTCGCAGGTGGATGCCAAGAAAAATCGCCGACTTGTCTCAGCATGTGCAATGCTCGTGTGTTACTGTCAAGTTTAAGGTCAAGCAAAAAACGCCATTTTCCGACAGTAGCCCTGCGACGGACGTAAGAGGATTAAGCCAGTTTTCTTCCCACCGGATTTGGTGCGTCGTACCAGCTGCTGCTGCCGCTGTCGGCCACGTTCCGTTTGTTCCGTCTCCTTTTATGACGCGATCGTTAGCGTAATTAACGCAGATTTTCATCCACCTGCGTGCCATTGAAGCTCCATATTTGACGATTCGTCACTCGTTTTGTTTCATTGTTACTCGATCGAAGCGGAATCGCTTTTCTAAACCGTTTCTCCCATCGTGGCAACAGTTTAAAAGCGAATACATAGTACAATATTATAATTAAAAGTTCTACGAAACTGTCGAAAGCACGTAATAATAGAGTAATATAACATATTACTTTCGAGTAAGGGCGAAGTTGGTCAATGTAACTCACTGACACGACGCGCGTTAGATTGTAATTGTCAGATCACGATCGCGAAATTAATATTTGAAAAATAATTGCTACGCGCATAAAATAATTAACTCTTAACTCGGTAATAAGAGAGTGAGATAATAAATGGTAAACTACTCAGTAATAAACTATTCACCTCGTGATCCGCCGTTACCCGATACCTCTCACAAGTTGCCCAGACCTCTCTTCCTGCTCTCGAGTTTCCTCATTGCATACGTACTCGCGAAAACACGATTGCGTGACTCTTTTCACTCCCGACGTTAACTGTGTGACGAAAACTTCGAAAGCGATGCGGTATACTTTCAAATCCGAGTAAAAGAAAAAGTTAACAAGGAAACCTCGCCCGTAAGTTTCACAAAGCGACAATTTCAATTTTCTCTGTCGCGTCACTTTATCTCGGATACATAAATCGCGCGAAATATCTGAATGACTGTTAATTAGATTTGGAAGAATAATAATCCTTTCTTAGTTGCCGGCAGTAAAAGTTAAACGCGTCAACTAGCGATTGCGAATTTTAATCGGCGAGCTAGCTCTATAACATACTAGAGGAGAGAGAATTTTCTCTTAAAATTTACCCTGAAAATCGTGTGATCGTGAGACGTGACATTTTGAAGAACCTTATGAGAGTTTCTTTTTAAATTTTACCATACGTTTTGCTAGGAAAATGTATAATTACTAGTGAAATGCATGATAAAATTTCAAAAAACTCTCATAAAACTCTTCAAAATGCCGTGTTGTCCCACGATTATAAAATTTTCAGGATAAACTGTGAAAGAAAATTCTCTCCGTGTAGAGTGGTCCTATTGTTCTCGATGTCGCCGAGAGACAGGTGCTGTTGGGAGAGACTCTCTTTCTATCCGACTAGTCGGTAATTTTCCATCTCACTATTTCCATATCGCACTCATATAAGGTGAAATGAAAAATCAGATATATATAAATAAATGGACCAATCAGATAATAGAAAAAGAGACGGTCACCACAAGAGACACTCGCTCCAGTATGTCGTAGAGCTCGCTGATTTTAATAATCGCCGTGAACGACGGCGTTTCGATGAAGCGGCTCGCGCCGCTGCCTACCGGACCGAGTCCCATTGTGTGAACGACACCGTAAAGATTGCACAACGCGCAACGCGTAAAAAATAAACACCGCGCGCCGGCCAACTCGTCACCGCTGCAAAATATTTACTATTATAAAATATTTAATGTCGTTTCCGCTCCGTATATTTCCGATTAATTACTGCTATTATCCCGCAGCTCGCGATAAGCCCTTGATGAAGTTTCATTTTACAAACTCGAGTCGGCAATTCGTTTATTATCGCCCGTTTTTAATCCGAAAACAATGAATGGATTACGTTCAAAACGTCGAAAGCGCGTTGTGTTCGAATGTACGAGAGATACACGCGAAACGTATATTGATATTCGAGTATCGTTAAAGAAACATGTAATTATCATCATGTTTATATTAATTATCGCATACATTTAAAAACTCCGGGTACACACACGCGTATATAAAGATAATTAAAATATATTGACTCTCCCAATCGATACGCGGCGTATAAAATTATAATTGAAATTTTATCCTGAAATCTGACGCAAATTAATACAAAATACAATTACACATACTCCGAAATGGGATTTCAAACGAAAAATTAAATAATTTGTAAAATTAAAAATCTCCTATCAACGTATCGTTTTATTGCCGCGTCATTTACGTATAAAAGATCCGGAAAGAAAATCGGCGGGATATAGCAAAGATTATTAATCGTTTACGGCATGAAAATTAATACGCGATGATAAATTGATACGCGTGTAAAAGTAGCTGTGGATGTAAATGAACGCGACATTATTAACCAAGTTTGACTTTGCACCTCGAAAATAATTTCAATAAATTTCTGACACATCGCAGACATGCAACATTACAGAATATTATCTCTTTTGTGAAAAAGTTGAAGATTAATTTGCAAATTAACGGTTTCTGTGTTTAATTCCTGTTTCCCTTGGAGGAAGAGAGATAACAAAGCGGCATTTGTTAAAGGAAGAAAAATATACGCGCGATACTCCCTGGTAAAATAACCATTATCAGGTTTTTTGTTTCGCCAACGCATATTTCCACATTGGAAAGATAGCCTTTCATTCAACTGATACTTCCAACAATACGGATATCTCCGATGTTATTTTAACAGAGTCATTATATTTGCATAACAGCAAAAAATTCTCGTACGGTACTCTAGATTCATTAAGTAAGTTACCGTAGATTGTACAGTGCTGCAGATTCATTAAACCCGATTTTAATCACAAAGGACCTTTGATGGATTAGAGTCAATTTTCCCTTAACTATGCATATACATGCACAAATATTAATAATTTTTTAATTCTACGAAAAAATGAAAGAAAAAAAGAAATCTCCCCCCGCTATAATTAAATCCCCTGATTGCTAGGAACTAATAACGAGAGTGCTTTGCGGCGGCTATTGTATAACAAATTTTTTTTACTATCTGTGTGTTTATATTAATTATCGAATGTCTGTATTACGTACATGGTTAAATCTCGGTCTTTAGCCAGACGGCACGCTTGCGATCTATCGCAATTGAATATTTATGGGATATGTATTCCGTCGATTTTTTTAATACGTGTCCAATCTTATGGTCCACCGTATTATATAGGTCGATCTTTCTTATTTTACCCTAAGCAAAGATGATAGGATCAGATTAAAGTTTTTGCGGGACGGTCCACGGAAAAATCGATATACCAACTCTGTAACGAGAAAGCGTTCGCCAAACTCATCCCAGGATCAAGCCGGATTAAATGCGCAAGGGATTAAAAATTACTCAAGCACTGGATTACGTCGGCGCCGAAAGGAGAAATCATTTTCCATCATCCGCATTACCTCTTTAGAGTCTTTTACGCATAGAATGCTGTACGTATTGAGCAGAATACTAAATTGTATAGATTTCTCAGCGGTCGTACAGTTTCCAGTGATTTTAAGATTGAATAAATATCGTCCGCCTAGAATTCCGTGACTATCTAATAAAATGTCTTCGAGAATTGGACGATATTCATTAGATCGAAATGCTAAATAATATATTCAATAATAATTTAATATACAAATAGTATTATGTCCGATAACTTTTTCATTTTATCAAGAATTACTTGACGCCGGTACGTGACTAACAATAATTCAGCTTACAATCGACCATAACTGCCCACAGTGGTCGAATCGGTGAGACGCCCGCCTAGAGCGTAGGGAAGTCCAGGTTCAAACCCTGGCTGAGGTAATAATTTTCGCGATAAATTTTCTGTGCTAAAAACACGTCGCCAGTTACGGTCGGTTGTAAGCTTAATTTTAATTTCAATAACTTTTAGCGCGCCGAAGATAATCTCAATCGTAAAATAGCGTCTAATGAAATTTTACTGGCTACTTACAATATGTGCTGTTCGATGTGGCGTTTTGGCTCGATAAGTCGACCTGCAAAGTAAAAAGAAGAATTTTAGATACAGTTTCTTGTGTATCGTATGTTACGTCATAAATAAATTAGCTCAACGAAAGTGCTCATTCCTTATTTTCCTCCCCTTCACAAAAATTCATTAGCGCATAAGAGTCAGTTTCACAAGCGTTGGTTAACTGCTGACCAAACGTTAATTGATTCTCTGTCCCTTCTTAGATAGTAAGATGGAAAAAGATACGGAGTTGAGTGAACTCTGCTCTCTAAAAGTCAATCGGTGCATCACTGAAAACGAATTGTAAGTATAGCGCTGAATAATTTAGCGAATCAGCGAAAATTCGCTGTTTTCAGTAATAATCCGCTGATTGACTTTTAGAGAATGGTTAACGATTAAGCGACGTTTATAAAATTGGTCCCAAGATGAACGAATTAAAATTCTACGTTATACACGCCTCTCTTTTTAGCAAAGCGGTCGCAACGTATGACACGAGAATGAACGTCAAAATTCACCTCGGAATATTGTATTACGCACTCTTGAATCCTAAGAATCACTTTAATCTGCATAACTGAGACGTCCGACTTCATACCGGCTTCCAAAATAGTGGCACCGCGCGAGCGCCTCGCGGAGAATTTAAATTAGATTCGGGGGACGCGCGGGCCTCGCTTACTCTGTCGAGCGCGCATATTAGCATCGAAAAGAGGAAGATGCGACCCGGCTTTTTTCTTTTGTTTTATTCTATTTTTCGGCCGATCGATCGATTGACCGGAAGGTCGAAGATTCTCCCGTCGCATCGTTCATGCGCAGCATCCAATAAGGCGGCCAAAGCCCGACGACAGCCGAGGGATTTCACAGGGTGAATCTGCAAGAACGGCTCCGGCATGGAAATCGCGGACGGCGTCGAGAATCGCCGGGATGAGAATTTTATCGCGCACCCCGCTGTTCCGCCCCAAGATTATTAGACGTATACAGGCTGTCCCATTCACGCTCTTCGCGTGACGCGTATCCTGTGCGAGAGAGAAACCTAGTAGATCACCTTTGTTACACTCGGCGCCACATAGCAGCGGCTGGGATACACGGTGATGTCAATCCCTTCTTGCCGATGCACGCATCACGTGTCTCGCCTAAAGACTCATCGACGAGACAACCTGTAATATCGTTCGATCTCTTTCGCGAAGTCGTATCTCGATTTTACGAAATTCTCGGCTTTTGTGCTTAAACGCTCTGGCCCAGACCTTGCGAAAGAGATCAGTCTTTCTTTACCCTTTCGTGGGAATGTTTCTAGATGCACGGAGCACATTGTAGATCAGACTGAAGAGAAAACGCATGTAAGAAGCCGCGACGTGCACGAGATGTGATCGTCGTAAACGTAATGTGCAGATTTGCATTGCATTTGGAACGCTCTTCAACCGCTGGGGCTATACCGGCGTGATAGTATTAAAAATTCCTTGAAATTCGCGTGCTTAATCTTGATTAAACGCTGAATCCAACACTAGGCGCTTCAACTCCTTAGAGCGGTGAAATTTTTGAAATTTCCCTTAACGAGAAAATATGCGGGACGAGGGCCGGGGATCGAACCGAGGACCCCACCGTTACTAATCGCTCGTGTTAGCGCAGAGCTACACGTCGTCCCGAAGAGAAGAGAGAAAGAGATCAGCCGATACGTCTAATAATCCTGGTGAAACCGCCCCTTGCCGTTCCGCCGCCACGTCGCGAAGGCGCGTCTCGCAAGGCGGAGGGTAGGTAATTGAAGGGCCGCTACGTGCCGCGGTTTTCGCAGTTGCAGCCGCGCGAATCGAACGGGAAACGCAGTTAGCGTTTCATACGTGCCGCGCGATCTCTCGCGAGACCGTTTGGTCGTCGCGTCCGCGCGAATTAATTACGATCCGGATATAACGCGGCAACGAAAATAACCGGCAGCTTCCACCTGGACGGTTATTTTCGACGGTGGAAAATGTTGCGGCTTGCGTGCCCCGCGTGTGTCTGCCTGTGTGTGCGCGCACGTCAGAAATCACGATTATTATTTCCTGAACGGTGCGCTACCGGAGTGCCTTGTCGAGTGTTTGCCGTGGTAGGTAAATGCCACGCTTCTGCACGGCGCGGAACATCGGCGCCGCATTTTCGCTCTCGCCTCTCGCGTTGCTCGCGCGGACTTACATAACGTAATTACATTCCGCGCGATGCATTCCGTACGCGAGGAATGAACACACGTACTACGTCAGCTGTGCTGTGAAAAAAAAAATTTTTTTTCCAGTACCGTCTATCCGAAACATTTCCGATGGTAATAAAATACCGTCTTACGAGGGAGCAGGGGTACGCGCGGCGCTCGTCGGAGAAAAATCCGATCTCGGTATTATTGAAAATTAGGTCAGTGTGTTCGCCACGTCGCGAAATACACGCTCCGGTAATCCGCCATTCTATTTTTACTCTCTCTCTCTCTCTCTCTCTTTTTTATCGCAATCTCCGATTTCTTCGCGCTTTCGATTGCGAAACTTGCGCGGAGTCCCGTGATTGAATCTAAGTCAATAGACAAAAGAACTGCAAACCGGCGATCGGATCAATCAATCGTCCCACCGTCGAAACGGATAGCGCCATAAATTCTATCTCGCGAATTTCGACAGGTCCGCGTGCGCAACCGGGCGCAACTGCGGACGAAACTGCAACTGCAAACCGAGCGTAATTGGAAGGGCCGTGGGGCGCGCGCTATGTACCCGTCGCGTATATGGAAGTTATCGCGTAGAAGGGCCGTGAATCGAAATCGAAAACCTCCGGGCGCGCACCGGCAGCGCTTTCGGCTTCCGAATTAGGCGCGTCGACACGTAACACACTAATCGAATCGCCACACACATCCGAGGCACTTGCAGCTGCGCTACAAACTTTCAATCGCGCGCAAATTGGCCCCCATAAATCAACGCCATCGCCGTAAGTCGCGAGCGAGAGTAGGTAATTCGCGTATTACCTGCAGCGCGACCACACGGTGACTAGGCGCGATTTCTCGTAACGTCGATTACCTATTTTGCTCCATTTGGGCTCGCAATTTTACACCAGCTTGTAACAACGCGGTAAGACAGGTTTTACCAAACGCTAATTGCGTTCGTTATGGGATTTTGAGAATTGGTACACGGAGAGAATTTTCTCTTAAAATTTATCCGGAAAATCGTGGGACAACACATTTCGAAGAATTTTACGAGGGTTTGCTGAAATTTTACTAGTAAAACGTATGGTAAAATTTCAGAAAACTCTGATAAGATTCTTCGAACTGTGTTGTTCCACGATTACAATATTTTCAGAGTAAATTTTAAGAGAAAATTCTCTCCGTGTAAATCCTGTATTGTATATAAATCTGTACCTGAGGATCAAACATCCCAACTGACATTTAGCAAATTTATATGCCATACTTTTACTGGTAAAATGTATGGTAAAATTTCAGAAAACTCTGATAAAATTCTTCGAACTGTGTTGTTCCACGATTACAATATTTTCAGAGTAAATTCTCTCCGTGTAAATCCTGTATTGCATATAAATCTGTACCTGAGAATAAAACATCGTAACTGACATTTAGCAAATTTATATACAGAAGAGCCGAAATTAATTTGCAGTTCTATAAGTTGTTTTTTTATAATACTCTTCAAAAGTTTGTTTAAAAATACTTTATTCAAACTTCCGTTCAATCTGCAGGTACAACTATTTAACACTGTAAAGTAAATAATTAGACCTGTTGAAATAAAAATCTCAAATCGATAATTGTGTAATCACGACAGTTGTACTTCTCAGGTACAGATACATAAATGTATATAATTTTTTGTAATGCAGATTAAACTGCAGTGTATCTGCTATTACAAGATAAAGGTTGATATTTGCAAGTTAACTTATCGTTATGTTAGCTGTATCAACATTAGTTACAAGGCACAAATGATAATACGACATGGACGTTCAGCAATTAATTATGTAACGTAGTTCTTGAACAATTCAAAGCGGCATATCTTATTGTAATTAAAATAACAAACGTTTGTATTTTCGTAACATAATTTCATGAACGACTGAAAGTAACGTTTGTAACGTTGCAAAAAATTTCAACCGCACGGAAAGAAAATGTTCACGAGCGGCGGCGTATAATTACAATTTTACGTAAATCAGCGTGAAATTTGTATTGTTCGTATATTAATTAATATGTAAATAAACTTTAATTTAATTCACAATTAAGCGGGCATTAATATTCATACTGCCTTTTACCCATAATTACGTCACGATCCAAATTACCTATCACTTTTGACAATTGAATTTGAAAAGCAGCTTGGTCTCCGAAAATATTGATGACTCAATGTAATTAGGGTACTACGTTTTATCTACATTGCAAATATATTTTCCCGTAATACTACCAAAATCCATTCGAACACGCGTGGCAATGTTTTAACGAACTCGTGGTGTAAAATTCACCGACTGAAATTTCGTTTCGAGAAAAAAAATCACCGCGCACGTAACGGCTCTTGTAGACCCGTGTTAGTCTGAAAGACCGCACACTTCCGTTGTCTCTCTTGCGTTTCCTCGCGTATTTGTCCACGAGCGTCCACCGTGACGGTAATCGTAAAAACGTCGTTTCCCGCATGTAAAATCCATTTCGTTAGTTTGGAAAAAAGCTATCGGACTTTGTGGACAGTGACGCTCGTCTCACACCATCGATCCGGCGCGATGTAAGCCGGGAGCAATTTATTTCACTTAAATTTAATTACGATATACGACAGTACCTTTTTTTTTAAGAGATTTGTATTTATGAAAACTGACACAGAGCTTTAGAAAATAGATCCAAGCTACGCGCCGGGGAAAAAGAAACGTAACCTCGCGCAGCAAAGTTCATCGTTTTCGGGAGTAAAAAAGAAACTTTCGGTTTAAGGAACCTTTGTTTACCAAATCACGTTACTAGATTTTTGCTAACGACTTTATGGGAAGTTCGCAGATTTCATTTCCGAGTGGGCCGTAAATCCTAGAAACTTTTCAAATTAAATTTCTAAATTGCGCTTGATCTAG